GCCCTCTGCAAACACGTTTCTGTTCCCAGTGAAATGTTAATGATTCCTTCAAGAAACCGTTGCTGAAAAAAAGCCACAGCAGCACAGCGACGGAAGGCATGTTTTTCTCTTTTTGGGGAAAAAGAGAGCATCGTGATGCCTCTTCTTGTTAACTTTCCGGCGCTGGCAGTCACCGGGGGGCACGCGGGTCTCGCTTTGCCCTGGGGAGGGGGCCTGGGTCCCGCCCGGGACGTGGGCGAGAGGCAGCTCGGTCCCCACAGGCCAGCCCGCTCCGGAGAGCACCACGCGAACTCGGGGCTGGCGAGAAGCTATAAATAACGTGCTTTTTGGATTCTGAAAAAAGAAAACCGAGGGAGCCCCCAACAGAGGGCGATTTACAGCCCACTCCTGCCTCCGTCCCAGGCGGACAGGGCGGTGGGCGGCCGGCTGAGCGTCCACTCGCCGCCTGTCCTCCCGGCCTTGTCCTCCGCCCGGCCTGCCTCCCACCAATAATAATCCAAGGAAATTTTAAAATAACAGCCACTCTCTGGAAGGCTGATGCGCGCACAGGGCTACAATCTAATCTGAAGGGGCGTGCAGAAGAATGAAGTTAATTTACGGCCTCTTTAAAATGCTCTCAGGAACCCTCGCGCAAAGACAAATTAAATAGCCACTTGATTAAAGTGAAAGTAGATTTGTGCGCTGTGTTCAGCAACTTCATCAACAGGGCTCGCTCATGCCTGCACGCCAGGCTTCCGGGCTGATGGGTGAGTCCTCGCTCTGCCCCGAGGGCCCAGGCTTCTCAGGCCCCCAGGCTCTGCCTGGTCCTGATTCTCCCACCACCCAGTCTCCCCTCAGCGCAGGGCAGGCTGTCGGCACTCATCCTCCAGGGCCGCTCAGGCGCCGCCTCCTCCAGGAAGTCCTCCCTGGCTGCCCCATGCAGATCCCCAGGGCACAGGGACACTGTGTGATGGAGTCCTGTCCGGATCAAACGTTCGGACACAGAGACCACGTCTGATTCACTCATCACCGTACCACAGCCCTTAACAGACTCTGACTGGAGAGATCAGAAGCAGCTGAGTGGAGGGCGAACAGAGGCTTCTTCTCACCAGGAGTCTCAAACTTCACCTGGTCTCTCCTGGCACAGGGTGACACTGCTGGCCCTCGGGGACTGTCCCCCAGGCACACATCTCCACTCCCGGCCACCTGCCCCACACAGTCGCTCACTCTCTCCACATTCTGGGCTCAGCCACCGGCCCCGGGCCCCTGAGGGCAAACGTAACAGGTACTCAGCACTGGTCACGCACCCCCTGACTTGTGTCTGACTCCGCCTCTCTCGAGACAGCCAGGCTTGGGGAGAAGGCTGCCATGGCAGAGGCCCAGCCCCTGCATACACACCAGTCCCAGCTCAGCCACCCCGACCCAGACCTCCCTCCCATCCGGGCCCCACCCTCAAAAACTGGGCGGCCCACCCTGGGGTGGCCAGGGATTCCAAGGCATGACATGGGAAGTCTGGTGACTGCAGGGGCCAAGTTCACCTTCAAGAACAGAGTGGAGCCATCATCTGCAGGCCGCTGCCAGCGGGAGCAAGGCTGGGGCACCGAGTGTCTCCAGAAGGGCCCACTCTCCAGACGGAGGCTGGGCTGAGCTGGAAGCCAGGGCTGCTTCCCAGAAAAAGGAGGGCCACGGAGCGCTCCGGGAGCCCAGGCCGAGGCTCGGGGCAGACCAGCTCCTGCCCTGCACCGGGCAGCCTCTGCCGTGCCTGCTCCAGCATGTGCCGGCGCCTGCGTCCCCAGGACCCCAGACAGAAAGGAACAGGGCACCGCAGGCAGGCAGGGGCACCCCGTCCAAGTGAGAGCAGCCCCTGAACCACCACGTGGCGCCCCCCAGCCTCAGGCTCAGGATCCTTTAGGAGCGTACTTCCCCCTGGTTTGTCCAAATGTCTTTCCTCTCTGATTTCTGTCCACACACGACGCATTCACACATTCCTCCCAGTGCCCCCTTCCCAGACCTGCCTCAAGCTGCCCCTCAAGCATATTCTCTATCTCCCACGTTTCCCCACTCGCTCACCTGGTACCGCCTCTTCCATGCAGCCTTCCCTGATTTTACCACCGGGGAAGATGGTGTTCACCTCTCCTATCCCGGCCCTTCCTGTCTGTCCCCTCTCTACTCTGGGTAAAATCAGGAGATACGAAGGTAACCAACACCCTCTTCCCCGCTGTTACAGGCCAGATTATGCCCCCAAAACTGGTGCGTAGGAGCCCTAACTCCCAGTACCGCAGATAAGACTATTTGAAGAGGGTCTTTCCAGAGGTGGTGAAGGTGGTGAAAGTGAGGTCTCATGGGGGGGGGGCTCTAATCCAAGCTGACTGGGGTCTTATGAGAGGAGATGAGGACACACGCGGAGGGGAGACCCCGGGCGGACACGGGAGGACAGTCCGCAGGCCAGGAGGGAGGCCTCCCAGGAAGCCAACCCTGCCCCTCCCGACCGTGGCCATCGGCCGCCAGACCCAGCAGGAAGGACCCTCCTGTGTCAGGGGCCCCTGGTCTGGCCTTTGTTCGGTGACCCCAGAAGCACAGACGCGTGACGAGGAACGTGACAGCTGGTGGGAGGTGACCCTACTCCCACCCCAGCAGAGGAGAGGCCACTCGACACCAGAAGAAACGTACGCGACAGCCACGGTGACCTTTTAACTCGAGAAAACAGGCTCAGAAGCGCCCATGTCCAGGACGGTCCTGCCTCTGGCCTCCAGCACGCGCAGACACTGCGGCCCCGAGACCCAGGGCAGAGAGCGGGACAGTCTGCCCAGGTGGAGCTCCGCACAGACCCCGCACGCCCCAAGCTTGCAGACAGGCTGGCGCAGGACAGCGGGGGAGGGGACCCCCCTTCACGCTGGAAGTTCAAGTGCCCTGAGGGGGACGCACAGGAGCGGTCCTGACAGCACGATTCCCGCCAGTTCGCAGCAAACAGGCAGACGGAGGCGCCCCCAGGCCCGAGGCGGCGACAGGAAAGCAGAACCCAGCAGAGCCCAGGCCTGGCCTGGCCCTTCACCTGCCTCCCAGCCCAGGAGGTGCCCCTGCACTCCGCGCCCCCCGCCCCGGCTCCGCGCAGGCAACGCGGCTGGTTCACGGACAGCAGTTCCGTCCCCGCAGCTCCGCGTCAGACAGCGGCGGCGTCAGGAAGGCAGGCCGGGGAGCACAGGCGCCCCAGGGCGCCGAGGGGCTGGAACCCGCTTCTCTGGCCCCTGCAGACGCAGCCAGCCGGGCTCCCGGGGCTGGTTTCCCTGCTGAGGACGCTGCGGAGCCGCGTCAGGGACCGCACGGGAGCCCCCTGGGGGGGCGGGTTTCCACAGGGGGTTCCAGTGCTTGGCCTCGAGTGAGGGTCTGTCTGGGGGTGCCCTGGGCAGAGGTGAAACCGGTTGGTCCCGGGAAGGTCTCCGGCCCCGAGGCTGCGGCTGAGCGTGGACGAGCCGAGGGTCCCTGGGGCTTCCTGGGTCAGCAGGGCTGGCGCTGCGGGGCACGAGCGGCCACAGAGCCAGAGGGACGGCCCAGCAGCGGCTGGTTCCACTGGGGCGCCGGCAGCTCTCACGCCTCTTCGGAGCCTTCTCCCCGGGAACGGGAGACTCTTAAAGCACCCCCGCTCCCCAAGCTCTTCCGGCGAGGACCTCGGGGTCCGGGAATGGGGGAGCCAGTGCTGGCCGGGGCAGTGCAGTCCTCAGGGGCCTTGACATCCCAGCCCCCACCGAATCCACGCTCCCTGACAGTGAAGGCGCACCCGTCCCCTGCCGTGCCAGGTCCTGCCCTGCTTGCCACCCACGCTCCCTGCCCGCTCGTGTCCGCGCCACAGCAGAGGCGCAGCCCTCAAAGGCGCACACTGGGGAGGAGACGGCACCCCCCACCCCCTCGGCCACCCCCAAGCCCCTCTCCCGCACTCGCCTGCCAGCACCCAGGGCACAGCCCACCCGGCACAGCAGTCACCCCACCCGGACACTGCCCCAGGGAGCAGAACAGGGGCTCCTCTGACAGCGCTCCAGCCCGGCTGCCCCGGGCTCCCCTCTACCTCCCCAGGAAGCCGGGGGCCTGAGACGGCCAGGGCTGGGGCTGGGGGCCACACCACGCACCCTCCTTGACCCCACGCCACCCACGACGCTAAAATGACAGACTGGAGCCATTGCTGGTAGCCCCGGGGGTGGGGGTCCAGCTCTTCTGGCACCCCAGGATTTGCGTTCAGTGCTCACTTGCTCCCCTGAGAGCGGGGTCCCTAAGTTACAGCTCGGAGGGGGGTGCTTGGGCCCCGTCCGCTCAGTGTCCGATTCACCAGGGCGGGCCCCTATCTGGGCATGCAGAGGGACAGGCACCCCTTCTGTGTCCTGATGGCCCCCCGCGAGTTAACTCCACCCGCAGCCCGAAGCGTCCAGTCTGACCGAGAGGACAGAAGTGACCGCAGAGCAGAGACCGGGCTCTGGCCGCACGGCCCCAGCCGGGGGAGGGCTGGCAGGGCTCGGCTTTGGGCCCAGCAGGCGGCCAGCGCTGTCCCCTCCAACGTACTCAAGCACCCCACCCCTCCCCGGAGAGCCCCCCGGGGGCTGAGCCCAGGCCAGCACAGGGTGGGTAGGAGGCCTGGCCAGGTGGCGCCTCTCGGGCTCCTCTCCCCGCCAGGGGCGCCGGGGCTCCTGGCCACGGCTGCTCCTCAGAGCTCCGCGCGCAGGGTCAGGGAGAAGAGCCAGGACCAGTCAGGGGGCGCCCCAGCGACTGCCACGGAAGGGAGTGTGCGCAGCACCAAGTCGGGGATGACCCTGAGGGCCACGTCGGGGCTCCCCCAGGCGGCCAGCTTCCCGGAGCCCTGAGACTCCGCCCCGTGACCCGGGGTCGGGAGCCGAGGGGGCGCCCCGGGGCGGGCGGCTCAGGGTCAGGGTCCGCCGCCCCCCGCCCCCCCCCCCGGGTCTCTCCGGCCAGCGGGGTCGCGGGGCCCCGCCCCAGGGTCCGGGCGCGGCGGGGCGCGCGGCGCGGGGGTCACTTACGCTGCTGTTCTCGCCCGTCCAGTGCACCATCGCCTGGTTGTGGGTCGCGTCCCCCTTGAGCACGAACGACGTGCTGACCAGCGAGACCTGCGCCGGCGGCGCCGCCCCGGCCCCCCGCGCCGCCCGCGCCCGGCGCCCCTGGCCCGCCGCGGGGGCGCCGTCCTCGCCGGGACGCGGAGCGGGGCCGGGGGCCGGGGCGCGGGGCTCCCCGCCGCGCGCGCGCCGCCCCCCGCCGCCCCCCGGCAGCGCGCGCCCCGCGGGCGGGCTCGGCGGCGCCCGGGTCAGCAGCGCGCGGGGCCCGGGGCGCGCGGGCGCGGGGGAGCCCCCCGCCGCCCCGCCGGCGCCCGGCGGCGGCAGCAGCAGCAGCAGCAGCAGCAGCGGCCGCGCGAGCGGGGAGCGCGGCGGCGGCGCCCCGGGGCGCGGGGCGCGGGCGGCGGGGCCCTGCGGGGCGCGCGGGGCCCCCGGGGCGCCATGGTCGCCGAGGGGCGCGGCGGGGCGGCGCGGGCGAGGGTGGCCGCGGCCGGAGAGCGGAGGGCGCCGGGGAGCGCGGGCAGGAGCGAGAGAAAGGAGCCGGCGGCGGGGGGCGGGAGGAGGGGACGCGCCGCCGCGCGCAGCCGAGGGCGCACCGCCACCTGCCGGCCGCCCCGCGCCCCGCGCCCCGCGCCCCGCGCCCCGCGCCCCGCGCCCCGCGCCCCGCGCCCCGCGCCCCGCGCGCCCCGCGCCCCGCGCCCCCGCCTGTCTGACCAAGCGCCCCTTAGTCCCGGCACAGCTCCGGGTGCTAGCGGGGCGCGGAGAGCAGCCAGGGGCCGGGCCACACCCGAGGGCACAAGTGGAGGCAACATAACCGGAGCCAGAGCCAGGGCACATCTGGAGGCACCGAGGCGCCCCCCCAGGGGCCTCTGAAGAGACAAGTCGGGATCACAGGAGGGGGACCAAGCTTCCCCGAAGTGGGGTCACCGCCAAGGCTGGGGTGCCCGGCAGAGGCCCGGGCCCTGCCCTAGGACTGGCACCGGTGACTGTCCAGCCCAACCCCAAGGGGGCAGCCCCGAACAGGAGCCCTGGGTGGGGGACGTGGGAGAGGAGCTCTCCAGAGCTTGGAAAGGGGTGTTCCTTGAGAGAAGTTCACTGTAACTTGCAGAGCACCCCAAGTGCCCCCCATGTGGTCCTTGTTAGGGGAAGAGAGAGGAGCAGAGGCCAGCGGGGCCAAGCTGTGTCTCCTGCAAGGCCACCCCAGCACCCCATCCTTCCCGGGAGTTGTGGCCACAGATAAAGCCCCCAAGGTCTGAGTCCCCCCACCCCCACCTCCCAGGCTGCATCTCTGCCCCAAAGAGAGACCAAAGCCTCAAAGTCTCAAGTGTTTGGTCACACAGTGTCCAGCCCCCCTCCGGCCCGCAGACGCGGAGCGCCCAGCAGCTCTCTTCTGCTCCTCCCGCCGTACCCTCCACAGGCAGCGTGCCGCCCTGTGCCCCACGCTGAGGGGGACCAGACATCTCCTGGGCCTACCCACCCCCCATGCGCCCAGCCCCACCTCCCTGGTGCAAACCCTGCCTGTGAGATCCCGCTCCCCAGCCCTGCCGCCGGCTGGGAACATCTGGTCTGGCCCGGGGACAGGGAACAGGCTGGATGCTAATGCAGGGCTGATGGGGCTGCGGGCGAACTGGGGTGGGGTGGGGGGGTGACTAGAAGGGACTTAGAAACTGCAGGCCATGGGAAGGCGCAGGGGGGTCAGATAAGAGGGGCCGGGGGGCCACATCCAGCAGAGGATGTGCTGCCACACCCCACTGCATGGCGAGGGGTACGCCGCCCCTAGGATCTCTTCGGTGACATGCTCAAGCACCTGCTCTGTGCTGGCAGAGCCAGGACTGCCGCCCGGGGTGATGGGCAGGAGGCCACATTTCAAGCCCAGGCCTGGCTGAGGGGGTGTCACCCTGTCTCACAGACAAGGACAACTGCTCTGGGAAACGGCGGGGCCCTGTGGCCTGGCCAGCCCGTCAGAGGCCAGTTCCAGCGTAGACCTGGGACCCAAGGAGCCCTGCCACCAGCCTGGTCACTGTGTGGGCATCTGAGGTGGGCAGTCACGGCCCAGCAGGGGGCGGGCACTGGAACAGGCTGCCGCCACCACAGGCCCACTTCTCTGGTGCCTGGGCTGAGGCCCCCAGCAACATGGGGGGTGGGGGAGGCCAGACCTGCAGTGCCAGCTGCAGGACGCCTCACCAGTGAGTGACCTTCTGGAACAATCAACTTCTCTGCCCGAATGAGGCAGCAAGGCCCTCTCAGGAGCAGGACAGGGCTGCCCCCTCTGAGCCGGCCGCTCAGGCAGGTGGCTCGCCTGCAAAGGTGGCTTGACATGGGGACACGGTGGCGAGGATGGCAGGCCTGTGCACCCCGGACCTCCCCTGCGCTCCCCAGGCCTCTGTGCCCGGCAGGTGGGCAGATCCCGAGCAGAGGGTTAGAGACACCCAGGAGAGAGTGAGGCAGAAGGGCATCGGGCCAGGTGACTTCTGCCGAGGACAGAGCCAGTGGTGATGAGGCGTGACGAGGGCACCAGCCCAGCCCAGACAGCTGCAGGGCCCAGGTGGGTCTTCAGCGGGAGGCGGGGGCTGGGCATCGCCCAGCAGGAGGCTGCTCTCCAGGTCCAGGGAAAGGCCCAGGGGAGGGAAGCAAGGGGCTGGGGAACCCCCTTCCAGGCACCTCCCATACCCCTGTGCCCTCCCTCCATGGTGACCTCATCAGGGGCTCGGGGACCCTGCAGTCCAGCCTGGGTGTGACATTTCTGATGGTGGGTGGGCTCCAAAGGCCATAGCAGCCATGTCAGGGTCCCTGCAGGGCTGGCCGTGGCCTGAGGGTGCGCACCCCCATGGAGGCTCCGCTGCCAGGCTGGGCCACACGCCTGGGGCCAGCCCCGGTGCTCGGGATATGCCAGCCAAGGAGCAGACATGTTCCGGGTGTGTGACGCCTGCTTCTGCACGACAGTGGGGTCCTGGTGCTGCAGCCCCCGGCCACCCCTGGCCCTCCTGAGGCTCAGCCCCAGACCAGACATGGACCTGGCACTGCCAGATGGGGGAGGCACGTGGGTGAACAGTGAAGTGGGGAGGCAGCCCTGGGCAGGGCCTGGGGAGGAGGGGCGAGGGAGGCGGGCTGCTCGGAGGAGGAAGCACCCTTGAGCTGAACCTTCCCGGCAGTGGTGACAGAGACCGGGCGACCCCCACCTGCAGAGCCTTGCTCTGGGCCAGGCACTGTTCCGGAGGGGAGGAGTCGCTGCACCTCCCATCTGCTGGGGCAGGCGCCGTCCCCCAGTTTGCAGATGAGAAGCGAAGGCACCAGGGCTGTCAGTTCCCCTGAGGATTCCAAGTCCCGCATCCCAGGTCGCCTGGGGGTCCCGAGCGCACAGACAAGACCTGTGCTCCCTGGCTCCGTGGCCCTCGGGGTGGCCCCCCTGGCCAGACATGCCGAACCCCGGTCCCCACCTGCTGAGCCAGCAGCTCTGGCGGAGCCCCGGAGTCGGTGCTTTCACTCGTCCTCCAGGTGGTCCTGCACCCCCGAACCACGTGGGGAGCGGCAGGAAGACGGGGCACCTGGCTCCCACACCTGCCCTCGCCGGCCTGCGGGCCGCCTGGGCCCCTCCCGTGCCCGGTGACGGCAGCGTGGCCCCGGCCAGGCCCCACCGGAGGGAGGCCCCGGGCCCGGCACAGGAGCGTTGAGCCCATGAACAGTGGCCCCCTGAGGTCAGTGGGGGCCGCTGAACCCCAGCTCAGACCTTCCGCTTCAAGATCCAGACTTGCCCCCGTTCACGGCAGCGCTCCCGGCGCAGACGGGGGTGGGGGGGGGCCGGTCTCCCGCTCTGGGCCCGTCTCGGCCGGGCAGGGCCCGGGCTGTCACGGGGCCCGACGGCGCTGGTTTTCATTCACGGTTGTGGATGAAGCTGAGCTCGCGGGCTCCCCAGGCGGGTCCCCCCGGGACAAGGAACCCAGGAGGGCTGCCCCGGCCAGGAAGGCTGGGGGACCCAGCAGGAGGGAGACGGGCCCAGCTGACGGGTGCAGACTCCACAGCGGGGAGCCCGGCCTGCTCTCAGCGGCCCCGCTCAGCTCCCGGGGAGTCCAGTCCTGGGGCTGCGCGGGGGCTGCGGTGACCCCAGGGGTGTCCCAAAGACTCGGCGCGCAGCAGGGCCGGAGGTGCTGCTCTGGGCAGGCTCGGGCTACCGTCTCGTTGTCAGGAGGGAAACGCCGCGGGGACGGCGGGCAGGACACCGCAGGGCCGGGAGAGGCCTCCGGTACAGACTGAGGGCGATGTGTCCAGGCTGGGAGAAAAGGCCCCGGGTGAGAGCAGCTGGGCTGGCGAGGGACGGGGCCCGGGGGCGCTCCTGGCTGCTCTTCGGGTGACACACTTTAGAGATGGTGGGGGGTGCTGAGGGGGGGCACCTGGAGGGAGAGGGCGCAGGGGCACCCGGGGCCAGGACAAGGGTGCGGCGCAGGGTGGGCGCGGCGGGGGAGGGCAAGGGTGCTGATCCCTCCAGTGTCCACGGCGGGGCAGCGGACTAGGCGACGGCCGGGCCTGTGCCTGGTCTGAGGAGGTCTGAGGAGGTCTGAGGAGGTCTGCGCCCCCCACCCTGTGTCCAGTCCCTCGGTGGCCCCGCACCCTCTCTGCCAGGTCTCTGCACACACTGGCACCTCTGCCGCTCTCTCCCATTCACCATTCCAGGGATGGGTCTCTGTGCCTCAGTTTCCTCTTATGCACAAGGGACATGCTAAGGGCGCAGGTGCCCTAGGCTGTCGTGCAGAGGAATGCGTGTCTGAGGCACACTCAGAGGGGCATCTGGAGGTGCTGGGTGTGGCGTGGGAGAAAGGCCCCCCGAGGGCAGATGGCAGGGGGGCACACTCCTCATCTATGTGCTAGGCACAGTGCCCCTGTGCCTTCCCGGGGTGCGGGGTGCATTCATCCACAAGGCCGAGCTGAGCCTAAGCCCCACAGATGCAGGTGGGCTGGTGGCCCGAGGGAGGTGCCCCCTTCTGGCCGCAGCGCATCCCCAGCCAGGGCCCCTCCCGACGCCAGGGGCTCCGGTCCGCCGCCTGTGCCAGCCCGGCCTCTCCGGAGCCTGCACTCCCAGCCGTGGCCCTGCGATCTGTGCGCAGGACGTGAACCCTTGGAGATGCCCCCCAAAGTGCAGCTGAGGGTCAGGAGAGGCCAGTGAGCCCGCCCTCGGGACGCCTGTGACATTTGCATATGAAGGGCTAAACAGCCCACGGTTGAAAAGCTGTGTGACTTCATTTAATTTGGTTCCCCCCAACTTCTTGACCCAGTAGTTCTTTATCTCTGCTTAACAGCATTAGCACCCTCGAGAACTCGACCTTTCATAAAGATATGCTGAGCACGGGGAAGAGCCAGGAGAATTTATTCTGCCTGAGGTGTTGGCCTCGGAGAAAAATACCTTGAGCAGG